CCTTTGAGGAAGTATATAGATCTTGTTATCTTGTCTTTATCCTGAGGCCTGGTCTTCAACAGATGTGTTTCTGGCTGTAGTTGGGGTATGTTTCACCTTTGTCCTGATTCTCTCAAGGACCTAGCCCTATCTGGCTGCCTATAATATTTCTATCTTACTCAGCTGTCTATAATAGAATGGGCAGCTCCAGAGTCCACCAGAAATATAGCCTCATCTTTTTAAGGTCCCACTCGCAAATTTATCAAGGATTCCTGGTGGGATCTATTCAAGAGGAAACCCTGACACCCCTAATCTTCATCAAAAGTCATAAGGGAGATCACTTTTTTTTTTCCCCCACTCTGGGCATTCCCTCTTAAAGTGTCCTGGTTTCCCACACTTGTAACATCCACTCACATCTGAGTCTTAGAACTTTCTCCTGGGGAGATCCTCTGTCCCTTTCTTTCCCTTGAAAGTGTCCCCATCTAACTGCTTGTTCATCACCTCCTCAACAGTAGAGATCATAATCTTTGCCTTTTGCTTCTGCTTTTTTTCTTCTCTCCTCACAAAGACCTTTTGAGGTTCTCTCAAGAGTTCTTCAATTGGCTCTTCATTCTACCTCTTTATCTTCCTTTTTTTGGTACTGGGGATCGAACTTGGGACCTTGCGTTTTCGAGGCAGGCAGCGGAGCCACTGAGCTAAATCCCTGGCACCCTTCTATCTTCTGTAGCTTTTTCATGATATTGGGCCAATTTTTGGTCATGAAGTTAACTTTGAATAAGCCTTGTCCAATGGGGTCCTCAGGATCTAGATCTGAATACTTCCTTATTTGATCTCTAAGTCTTTGTAAGAAAGCTTCGGGGTTTTCTTCCTTATCCTGCTGAATTTGACTGGGCTCTGGGAGCCGACTCTACTCCCTTAATTATGAGCTCCCTAAGATCCTGCATGTTGGCTCAGTGACCCAGAAGATTGCTGTCCCACCTCAGCTCTTCATTGGGGAATTTAGTTTCTGCAGGTGAGACTCTGGGCCCAGAAGGTTGCTGTCTCTCCCAAATGCTGATGGCTGCTGCTGTAGTCAGAGTTTGCAAGGAAATAGATTTAATAAAGGACACAATTTGTAGGATTATTTTATAATAGTCAACCAAAAAGTCAAATGCAGAGGAGTACAAGTGATCTGTCCTTGTGCTAGAGACCCCGAATCCAGTCGAGGGCCTGGATCCCAGAGCAGTGTCTTCCCAGGAGTCCAGCCAGAGGCCTAGGGCCCACAGGAATGTCTCATGCAAGTCCATGTTGAGGATCTACACCGGGAAGGCCCACGGGCCTGTGGTGGAAGCTAGAAAGTCTGCGCCAATGGGGTGAAGGGTCTGTGCCACCAGGCTGAGGGGTCTGCACTGGAGCCAGGAAGCAATGCTCAAGATGAAGACCAGAGCTCCCCTGAAGAAAACAGGAGCCACCCCAGTGACAGCGAGGACCCAAGCTCCTCCGATGCTAAAAACAGCCTAGTTTGTAACAGGAAAACCAGCTGCAACAAACTTCTCCAGGAAAATCAACAATATACAATCTTCCCCTCCAGTTCTCCTTTTAAACCATTGGCAAAAATTCTCGGGGGGTTTTCCATGCCCACGCCACACTGACTCAGTTCATCTGGGCAGTCCAAGTTGATCATTAGTTAATCCATCACAGCTGCCCTCACAGCTGTCCTCCTAATCATTCTTCTTTCCTCTCCTGTAGGTCCAAGGAATTGGTCTAATTGGTCTGCTAGCCCCAGGGATTTTTTTTTTTTTTTGAGACAGGGTTTTGCTATGTAGTTCAGGCTGGCCTTGAACCACAATGTTGTAGTCTAGCATGGCCTTGAACTCATGGTAATCCTCCTGCCTCAGCCTCCAACATGTTGGGATTACAGGTGTGCACTACCATGCCTGACTCTGAATCTGCTAGGAGTGGTTTCATCTCCCTTTGGAAGTTTCTAATCTCACTACTAGGAAGTGGAACCAATCACAAAACCAGTCCCTCTCTGCCCCACAGGAACCTCTTGAAGAGGAAACAGTAGATGCCTGTCATTTAGGAGAAATAGGAAATTTTTCTAAATCTTTCTCACATTATTCTAGTTCCTTTCTTAATTTAGGGTAAGGATTTGAGGGTGCTGCTGGCTTAGCTCCTTCCTGATTCTTGAGTATGGTCCTCTGGCCCCTTCAGACTCTCTGTCATCTGTTGAGTCCCATTCCCCTCAGTCTATAGGACACCAGGGGCGGGGGTGGGGTGGAGGAGCAGGTCAAGGGATCCCAAGACTTCTCTTTGGCTTCCCCTTTCTCTTCTTTAAGTAGAAACATGGGGTTCAAAACTGTAAACCAAGCTGGGCATGGTGGCACACACTTGTAGTTCCAGCACTCAAGAGGCTAAAGCATGGAGGATCTTCGTAAATTCGAGACTAGCCTGGGCTACATAGTGAGTAGTGAGTTCAAGGCCAGCCTGAACTACATAGCAAGACCCTGTTTCAAAAAACCCCACAAAAACAAAAAAACTGGAAACCAACAGAAGCCATAGTCTATTTCTTCCTTTGAGGCAGGGGTCTTTTTATTGACATACATAATCAGGGTCTGACAGACCCAGGCCTTGCTGGAGCTGAATTTAGGCCAAAAGACAGAAGGTTTTCATACTGGGTCCTTGGGCCATATGAAACAGTATTTAATCATTTTCTGCCAGGTAAGGTGGTGCACGACTGTAATCCTAGCACTTGGGAAGCTGAGGCAGGAGGGTAGCCACTAGTTTGAGGCCAGCCCTATCTACATAGTGATACTCTGTCTCAAAAAACAAAAACAAACCAAAACAACAAAAACCCCAGTATTTATTCATTTTCTGTTTCTTTTTATTTTGAGTCTGGGAACTGTCTTCCTAACCTTCCAGCATCCCCTCCTAAAGGATTATCTGGCTATCTGGAAGAATGCTGCAAGGGGAATTCCAATTTTCCTCTTTGATTCTGTAAGCCTAGAATTGTTCTTTTCCATTTTTGGCTGGTCCCTGTATCTGAGTTTCCCTGTGCACTCAACACCCCCTGCTGGAGATTTCTTGCATACTTGAGAATCTGTCTCAGGCTATTTCCCTGGAGGGTGGATCGGGACTCCACCCTCCGTTCATATCTAGGATACATCTTTTTTTTTTTTTTGTACCGGGGATCGAACTCGGGTCCTTGAGCTTGTGCAGCAGGCAGCGAAACCACTGAGCTAAATCCCCGGCCCTCTAGGATACATCTTAATCACACGTGCTGGACCTCCGAAAATACCGGACCACCAAGGAAGTACTTATTGTCCAGTTTTCCTACCTTGGCCCATGCACGAGTTTGCCTGGTTGCCACAGTGCCTGCCTTCTCTTCCCTGTGTTGGTTTCACTGTCTCAGATACGAGCCTTGAGACCGACCTGGCTTCTGCAAGGAACAGGATTCCCAGACCAAAAGGGCCACATCGGGAGCTAGGGCACCCAGGACAGGGCATGGCTGTGGCAGGCTAGGCTGCAGGAAGCTGTGGGCAATCTGAGGCAGGACCTCAGTTGTCCCCCACTGGTTGATGCCAGCTGCCTAAGGCTTCATTTGTGAGTGCACCCCGTGCCTTTTCTACATCCCTCTCCCCACCTGGGGCCAGCCAAGGCGCCTTTCCCCAAATGCCTTCCCAAAGGGCGGCCTATGAAACTTCGAGACAGGAGCCAGCCAGGGGCCTTGGCCTGCCATAAATGAGCCAAGGGTCCTTATCCAGAGAGTGCATAGTTGCTGAGGCATAATCAGGCAGCCATGGAGGGCTTCCTAGGAGAGGAAGAGGAGCACAGCTGGCTGGGCACGGATGCTCAAAGATGACCCATGGTGGCTCAAGCAAAGTGCACCGTGCTTAGCTTGGGCACAGGAGAGAGCCACCTTGAGCTTCCCCTGCCCAACCTGGCTGAGCCCTGCTGCAGTCCACAGGGGAGAAAGATGTTCCCTTCATTCCCCCACCTCTATCCCATGAGCTTTGAATTTTCCAAGTTTTTCTGTTTCTTTTACTTTTGAGACAGGGTCTCACTATGTAGTTCAGACTGGACTTGAACTCACTATATAGCCCAGGCTGGCCTCAAACTCACAGCGATCTTCCTGCCTCAGCCTCCCAAATGCTGGGATTACAGGTGTGTGCCACCATCCCCAGCTTTTTTTTGTTTCTTTCTCCACAGACGCTCTAGCAACTGACAATTATAGGGATTTTTGGTACCGGGGATCGAATTCGAGAACTTGTGCCTTCAAGGAAGGCGGTGGATCCACTGAGCTAAATCCCCGGCCCCTGACCATTATCTATTAGGATGGGTGGTCTCAGGTCTGGGGGCAAGGGCATGTCAGGGAGAGCAGAGGATGCCAGGCTAGAAGGAGAGCATGAGGGTGAGCAAGGACCGGCCCAGGGGCAAGGCTGGTGTCCAGATGCAGGGTGTGGGTTCAAGCCTGGCTCTCCTGGGCAGTAAATGGTGGTCAGAAACAAGGAAAGCAGAAGCTATGGCTGGGCTTATGCAGGGGCTCCTGACCCCACCCTCCCCCTAGGCCAAGGGCTTGATGCCAGGTGCCTAGACTTCTGAGCCTTTTGGAGTGCAGAGGGCCAGCCCACCCTTCCCCTAGGAACCTCCAACAGGGTGGGCAAAGTATTAGTTTTTGGGGTTTTTTTTCCTGTACTGGGGATTGAACTCAGGACCTTGCACATGTGAGGCAGGCAGGCACCACTGAGCTAAATCCCCAGGCTAAAGTATCAGTTTTTATGACTATGTAACAAATTGACATAAAGGTAGCAGCCTAAAACAACACAGATGTATTAAATCACAGATCTATAGGTCAGAAGTCTGGGTGGCTTTGCCAGGTTTCCCCGCTTAGGGTCTTGTCAGGCTGAAGTCAAGGGACTGGGCAAGCAGAGGCCTTTTCTGGAGGTAGGGGAAGAATTTGCTTCTCATCTCCTTCAGGGTGTTGGCAGAACCTGGGTCCATTTGGTTGTAGGTCTGAGGTTCCTGTCCCTTCCTGGCTCTCAGCTACAGGAGTCCGCTCACAGTTCCTGGCCCCTCCATCTTCAAAGCCAGCAATGGAGATGCTCCCTGGTGTTGAATGCCTCTCATGGTTTGAATCTGCCTGACTTCCTCCAGAAAACAAGGGGCACACAGGCCAGACGGGGCACCAGCTGGTTTGCCCACCTCTGTGTGCCCCATACCCATCCCTGGGCAGAGCTGAGGAGGGTAAATATACATGAGGAGGGGAGGGAGTGTGAGCCCCTGAGACATATGGGAGATTCGATGAGCCCCATGGAGGAGAGGGGGTCAGGTGATGGACAGATGGGTGGTAGATGACTCCTTAGCACCTCGGCCTCAAGTCAGAAGGGCCAGGATGTGAGCAGGACCCCAGATACACCAGGAGGCTGAAGGAACCAGCATCAGAGGCTGAGGCGAGCTCGAATCCAGGGGCTGTACTTGGCCACGTTGGTATAGACACCCGGACGGTTAGGCAGGGCACAGCCCTTGCCCCAGCTCACCACACCCACCAGGACCCAACGCCCAGACTGCATGCAGGTCAGGGGCCCCCCAGAGTCACCCTGCAGGAGAAAGGCAACCTTAGGTTCCAGCATCCCCAGGTCTTGTTCCCTGGGCAGATATCTCTGGGTTGGGGGCTGGGACACAGGGGTGTGAACTCTGGAGGTTGTGGGGGACCCACCTGGCAAGCGTCCTTGTGGCCTTCAACGTAGCCAGCACACAGGTTCCCTGGCAGTACTATGTGCTCTGTCTGGGGGACATTGGTGCCCACGTGGTAGAGGTGGTCACAGGTGCGTGAGTCCAGCAGTGGCACCCTCACTCCTTGAAGGGGTCGCCACTCTGGGAGTGGCACTGGGAAAAGAGGAGCCAGGAGAGAGTGAGGCATGAGGCAGGGCTCAGTGGGAGAAGCTGAGCTTGAGCCCAACTTGCCAGGCTGGGACTCTGCCTGGGCGGAGGTGAAGGTCCTTAGAAGTGGCTCTGGGTCCTGGACTGGGGCTGTGAGGGACAGGATTCCCAGTCCCAAGGAGGAGGAGGGCTTCCCCAGTGCCTCCATGCCCTGCCCTCCATGCCTCACCTCCTGGGCGGAGGCTGCCCCAGCCAGTGACCCAGCATGATGAGCCAGAGTGCGGGCGGGACCCGGGCACCGGCAGGCAGACAGGCTGCACTCGGGCGCTCAAGGTCACCGGGTGTCGAAGCTGCAGCAAGGCTAGGTCGCCTCTAGCCACATCCTCTGAGTAGTCCGGGGGCAGTAGCACCCGCTGCACAGGCACCGAGAGTGTGTGAAGCGGTGTGGGGCTCAGGTGCAGCGCCCCTAGGCGCACGCGGTATTCAGCCAGCAGCACCTGCCTGCACAACAGGAGCTGGAGATACTGACACCACTGTCCTCCACCTGGGGGTGGGGGGCACCAGCCCTGCACCCCACTCCATAGGCCTTGATTTCCCTGGCAATCCGTATGGGCTCTGGGTGGGAGCTGACCTGGGGAAGCAATGCCCTGCCGTCAGCACCCACTGGGGGGCTATGAGCGATCCCCCACACACATGTGCCCCACGGTGCTGGATGCTCGCCTGCCATGGCCACTCTCCGTCCTGGGCATCTCGGCCACCCACAATCCGGCTGGACCTTTGGGGCTGGCCACAGGCTGTGAGGGGACAGCATGGGCTGTTGGAGAACCAGGGCCTGGGAGGCAGGTGTAGGTAGAGAGACAGAGCCAAGGTCCAGGAGGAGCTGGTCCTGAGGATTCCTTACCTGCAGATACCGGTGTCCAAGCAGCTCCTGCAGGAGGAAGCAGGGAAGAGACTGGTGTCAGATAACATGCTGAAGGTGGTGGTCGGAGATTAGGAAGCAGGTAGAACGTATTAGTCGTATTAGTCGCACTGATCTCAGGCCAGGCTTCTGTGAAATTGGTCACCTGATTTAACCTTCCTCAGAGCACTGTGGGCTGAAGGGTGGGAGTCTTAGGCCCTACATAGTGACAGCACATTCAAGTTTGGAGACCTCAAGGTGAGTGGCTGAGAGGATTTGAACACTTAGAAACGAGATTAAAATGCTGAAGGGTACTGAAGGGGACCCAGGCTCAAGAGAGGGGTGAGGTGGCATACTGGAGCCAAGGCCCTGTGGCCAGCACTCCTAATGCTCACCCCACTCACCTGGCATCAGCAGAAACAGGACCCAGAGGCAGGAAGCATCCCTCATTGTGTCTTCAGGGCTGGGCTGGGTAAAGGTAGCAGTGCTCAGGGCTTGGAGTCTCTGGAGCCAGCAGGGAGCAGGGACAAGTGCCAGGGGAACACCCCACTCCAGCCCACCCACCATGATCCTTCCATCTGCCCTCAGTTTGTAGCTTGGACCTCTGCCTGCCAACTAGACTCTATGCCCTTTCTTCTGCCCAGGCCCCGGTGACTGTTCCCCCTCTGGCCAAGGATGCAGACCCCCACCCCTGAGATGTGGATACCCTTTGCCTCTTCCTCCAGCCCCATTCTTCTTTTGTATTTCCTGACAGCTGCCACTGTTGTGCCCCAGCAACCCTTGGACCCTGCTCTCACCCTCAGAGCCTGGTGCCCTTTCTGCTGACTGGGCTAGAGCAGGGCCTGGGGGCTTAAAGGGCAGAGGGGGTGGAGGCCTGGCCAGGGGATCATTAACAGTGCCAAGGCGGGGCTGTGGCTTCACCTGACCAACTTCAAACAAAGATGCTTTGAGCAGTACTTTAGAGGTGGCAGGAAAAGGATACCAGGCACAGAGAACTTCAGAAGGGAGGGGATCTGTGCTCAGGCCAGGGAGCTCCAGAGGACCCTTGGCAGCCCATCTCTGAACCTGATCCTGCCTCCTTGCCTGGTCACTGGAGCTTCTGAGCTCTATTGTTCTGTCCGGTAATCCCAGCTCAGCCTGGCTAGCTGGCCCCACCCAATTCCTGACCCCACATCCTGGTCTCTGAACATCCAGCCTGGCCTGCTGACCCCACACAGAGACCCCGGCCTGGCCACCTGCTCTTGGGTCCTACATCTGTAAGAGCTCAACATGGAAATGACAGGTTCAAAGCTAGCAGCATGCCTTTCTTGGCCAGACAGAAGAAGGTGTGACCATGGGACACAGTCCACTCTGATTTGGGATGGCCAGGACACAGCAAGGCTGCTGGTCTGGGATGAGGCTAGGAGATCTGGGGACAGAGGGCAGCAACTGCCCTTCTCTGAGCCAGTGGAGGTCTGGGACCAGAATGGTGCCTAGGGGCTGTGAATCCTCTCTTAGGTTCTTACCTGGAAGGTTCTGTGGCCTCTCACTGCCTCGTCAGCAACCCCTTGCTCCTCAGCCCTTGCTCCATCACTTCCTGGGGGAGGGGACCCTCCCTCCCTAGGCCATACCCCCTTCAGGACCCTGTCAAGGTTGTACTTTGTACTTTGACATGTGCTGGAGGAGGTTGATTTGTCCCTGATTCACAAGGCAGGGCCTGGTTTGTGCTCCTGTATTAGATTTTGCTCTCATAATAAAATAACACAGGGTGGGTGGCTTAAAGAGAAATTTATTCTCAAGGTTCTAGGGGCTGGAAGTCCAAGATCAAGGTGCTGTAAGGTAGGTTTTATTCTGAGGCCATTCCTCTCAGCCTGTTAGGCAGCCTCCATCTCTCTGACACAGCCTCTGTGTACAGGAAAACAAAGAGATTAAGATCCTATTAGATCAGATCCCCATAATTATGACCCCATTTAACCCCAGCTTCTTCCATAAATGCAAATAATGTCACACTAAAGATTAGGGCTTGCTATGGCTTGAATATAGTTGTTCCCTGGCCCCAAACTCATGAAGGAATTTAATCCACAAAATCTTAAGGAATTAAGAGAGTGGAAACTTAATTCCACTATGGTGTTTAAAGTGAGGCCTCTGGGAAGTGATTAGATTAGGTCATTAGGAGGAGCCCCCATGATTGAATCCTTGTGGTTTTATAAGGAGAGGGAGGAATACCACACAAAGACAGACACGTAGACTCCCTGTCTCTTGCCATGTGATACTATGCTCCACCTTAGTACTATAACCAGCAAGAAGGCTGTCGCCAGAACTGGGCTAATTCCAGTGCCATGCACTTGAACCTGCAAAACTGTGAACTAAATGATTTCTTTTCTTTATAAAGTTATCCTGCTCAGGTATTTTTGTTATAGCAATGAAAAGCTGAGGAGTATAGAACTTCAGCATAGGAATTTTGGAGGGGACAGAAACATTCAGTCTGTAACAGACTGCAGCAGACAGAACAGAGCGGGAACTGAGGATCCTGGAGCAAGTGAATGGGGCTGGGCAGGGCAGAAGGGTAGGAGCCACCTTGAGGGATGGAGAGGAGGGAACCCTGGGGTGATCCAGACTCAGCATCTGGATGAGGGGTGGAGAGAGGAAGCCTCCAGGCTTGACTTCTGCTGTCCACAGTTTAGGACCACACTCAAGACCACTTTTGGGCCTGGGGTGTAGCTCAGTGGTAGAACACATACCTAGCATGGGTGAAGTCTTCGATTTGATCCTTAGTACTGCAAAACAAAACAAAGATCAGCTCTTTGGAGTTTGGCCTTAGTACTCCCTCCCTCCAGTATTGAGCCCTCGGTATAATTATTCAAACCCATGTACCCCACATCCCTCACCTGTAAAGCCCACCTCAGAGGTTGTCATGTGAAGATTAGCTGAGCGAACCATGCAGAGCTCAGAACAGTGCCTGGTATGGGGCAAAGGCTAGGAAAGTGCTTTAGGAATGAAGGAAGCAGGCTCCTGCTTTCCCCAAGCCTCAAGGTCTTTTGTTACCCAGGCTTGGCTGCTCTTGGATGGTGTGGGGGAGGCAGGGCCAGTGGTGCAGAGTTGGGAGCAGCTGGAAAGCTGCAGGGACTAGTGGCAATGGGAGGCAAGGGGCCTTCAGCATATAATCATCCCTGGGGACTTAGAGCAGACCTTGAGAAGGGAGCAAGCTGGAAAGCTGGGTACTCTACTCAGAAGGGAGCTGGGAGGTGCAATCTGGGGTGAATGGCAAGGGTGGAGATGTAGAGAAACAAGAAAGTTGGGTCAAGGAGATGGGTTCTTGCCAAGAAACTGACTCTTTCCAGGGAAAGGTTGCAAATGCTTGAAAAATGGACATTCGAACCTTGGGGAAGCGGAAAAGAGTCCCAAAGAGTTTGCATATTGAAAACTGAGAACCCAAGCTAAGCCCATCTCCTTTATGCTTCACTTTTTTTTTTTTTTTTTTTTTTTAACACTCTTGCTATGTAGTTCAGGCTGACCTCAAACTCACTATGTAGGCCAGGGTAACCTTGAACTCACAGCCATCCTCCTGCCTCAGCCTCATGAGTGCTGGAATAAGAAATGTGTGCCATCATGCCTGGCTCTTTTTTTTTTAAACAACACCCTTCCCTACTCATGCTTCCTGGTGAGGGGGCACACTGGAATGCTCCCCAGCACCTGTACTCCAAGTCTGCCCAGGTCCCAGACACCCCAAGGCCACAGCCACCCTTCTAGAAATCATTTTTTGGATTGAACTAATCACAGCAGGTCTTGCCATTTACAACCCAAACCTGGACAAGGTTAGGAGCTGGGATGGGGCCCAGGCTGGATGCATCACAGTTGAACAAAGTCATCAAGGAAACCAAAGGGTCCCCATAAAGCTCTGTGATGAGAATTCAGATAAGTACACAAGTTTATTAGCAAATAGGACAGAAGGGGACAGAAGCCTGGACAGAAGTCTGTCCCCACCCAAACATGAGCATCCACCGGGTAGAGGGCGCTGCAAATGCTGTGATCCCAGCTGCAGCTCCCCAGGACAGGTGAGCTCAGGTGGGGCCCACAAACTGGGGAGTCCAGGGCACAGTGAAGAGCAACAGCAGTGGGGAGAGGTCTAGCTTGGGTGAGCCACTGTGGGCCATGATCTGCTGGATCCAGTGGATGTGCTGGCTGATGTTGGTGTAGACTCCAGGCCGATTGGGGCGACCGCAGCCCACTCCCCAGCTCACGATTCCAATCTGATACCACACCCCATCCAGGTCGCAAACCAAGGGTCCTCCTGAGTCTCCCTGGAGAGTAGAATGGGTGAGCCCAGCCTGAGGCAAGGCATGGTGGCCCAGCAAAGAGGCAGGAAAGCAGGGAGATTTTGGAACTGGCACCTTCCCTGGCAGTGATGGAGCCTCACTTTCTACATCTATAGAGTATGAACAGGTTCTCTTACCTCCAGAGGTGACAAGACCATAAAGAGGCACCATTAATAGAAAATGGGAAATATGTGGTATAGGTTGGATGACTAAGGACTGCAATTGATTTCTTTTCTTTTGAGTGTGTACGTGTGTGTGTGCGTGTGTGAGAGAGAGACTAGGGATTGAACCCAGGGTATTTGCACTGAGCTACATCCTAAGCCCCTTTTCTCTTTTCTATTTTGAGACAGGGTTGTTAAAAGTTTCCCAGGCTAGGGCCGGGGATTTAGCTCAGTGATTCTGTCGCTTGCTTTGCAAGCTCAAGGACCCGAGTTCGATCCCCGGAACCAAACAAACAAACAGTTTCCCAGGCTGGGTTCAAACTTGTGGTCCTCCTGCCTCAGCCTCCCAGAGTGCTAGGATTACAGGCATGTGGCACTCCAGCTAAGAGTGCAATTGATTTCTATGAATGAACTCCAAATTCATTTGGGTGGGGGACCTCAGGCCCGTGGTTGGGAAAAAGTGGGATTCCCTGATGGGGAAGAAATACTCACTTTGCAGGAATCTGCACTGCCATCCTCAGCACTGGCACAAAACATGGACCCTTTGATTCTACTGAGTACAGTGGGCTGTCTGAACAGGTAGTTGCACCTGGTGTTGTTCAGGATGGTGACCTGCACTTCTTGGAGGTGGTAGGGAGGTGGCAGAGATGCTGCGGGTAGGACGGAGGTAGAAGGAGACTTTAGAATTCCCTCTGCCATCCCAGGCAGGGACGGCACACCTTGCAGCAGTGATCACCCCTGGGGATCAGCCCCCCTCATGGGAAATCAACAGTATCATGGGAGGATGCAGCGGAAGGACCAGCTGCTGTAGTGCCACTGGGAACTTGGTTTCCCTAGATGTGCAATGGAGATAACAGGCCCTGTCCGCACAGGTGGACAGATTCCTAAACAGAAGCCCAGATAACAAGGAGCTAAGGAGGCAGACACAGTGTTTTCTTTTTCTTTTGGTTTTGGTTGAGACAGGCTCTTACTTTGTAGTTCAGGCTGGCTTGAACTGAATATGTAGCCTAGGCTAGCTTTGAACTTGCAGCTGTACTCCTGCCTCAGCCTCCCAGGTGCTAGGATTACAGCCATTCACCATGATGCCTTGCTCTGGAGAGCTTTTGACTGCGCCTCCTCCCCACAGAAAGGTCAAATTTGATGAAATACATGAAAGTACGGATCGAAGAAGCTGAAGAGACTCCAAGTAAGGCAAACACAAAGAGAACCATCTGTAGATATATTATAACCAAACTGGGAAAACACAGACAGAAACTTGTAAATAGCAGCAGAGAATCCAGTTGTCAGTATAAGGGAACTCAGCAGATATATAGTTGGTTTCTTTTCAGAAATTAGGTGTTCAAAGACAAACTTGTATATTAACGTTCATAAATTATTCACAATACTCAAAAGGTAGAAACAAATGTCCATCAACACATGAATGGATAAAAAAATAGGTTATAAACAAATTGTGTTATGCAGGGGAATACTATTCAGCCATAAAAAGAAATGAAATTCTGATACTTGCTTTAATACTGATGAACCTTGTAGACACTCTGAGCTCAGAAAGCAGACCCACAGAGCCACATACTGTATGAAGCTATTCATATGAAATACTCAAAAGGACTGAATCCAGAGACAGAAAGCTCGTCAGTGGCTCTCGGGGGGGGGAAGGGAGGGTCCATGAGAAGTGACTGCTTAGTGGGAATGAGAGTCTCCTATAACATTGATAGCATAGTGTTGTGAACTCACTAGATAAGGCCAAATTGCATACTTTTTTAAAAAAGGAAATGAAGAAAAGAAAAGGGAGGTTGATATGATATGCCATAAACAGGACCAATACTTTGTTTTTGTTTTTGGTACCAGGGATTGAACTTGGGTCCTTGAGCTTTTGAGGGAGGTGGTGCCAACCACTGAGCTAAATCCCCTGCCCAACAGAACTAATCTTGAGGACACTGTATTACATGAAAGAAGCCAAAACACAGAAGGTCACCTCCTCTATGACTCTGGATGTCCAGAAAAGCCAAATGAACAGACAGTCAGGCTGCAGGTGGCCAGGGGTGAAAGGTCTGGGGAAACTGGGCGGTCAAGAGGATGACTGAGGAGTGGGGGGTTGTTTTTGAGAACATGACAATGTTCTATCGTTAGGGTTGATGGTTGCACAACTAAGTGAATATACAAAGTAGCACTTTAAAACTGTTCTCTTTCAAATCTTATGAGCCAGTGAATTAAATCTCAGTGTAAGGAAATGAAGGCCTGAAGCTTCCTCAGAAATCTGCCTGATCCCCAACCCTGCTGGCCAGGGCACACACAGGACTGGCCAAGCTGGACACCCCTGTACCTCTGCCTTCAGCCACCAGGTGTGCAAAGGAAGGAACTAAGTGTTTGGTTACATGGCTGGGATGGAGAGGAGAGGAGTGGCTAGGATGGATGCTGAGCAGGTAGGCAGAGGGGCTCAGGGGGGCCTGAGACCAGAGGGGTGCTGTTGAGCCTGGTGTGGCTGGGACAGGAGAGCAGGATGGTGCCCGCCCACCCCAGCACGCCTCTCCCCAGCCTCACTCAGATTCTCACGGAGTGGCCCCCAGCCGGTCACCCAGCAGTCAGGCTGGTGCAGGAACAAGGAGGAGGAGGAGGAGGAGGAGGAGAAGGAGGAGGAGGCCTCCACACAGACTGGTTGGATGTACTTGGTGTAGGTGACAGGGGAGGCCAGCCTCAGCAGGGCAATGTCATGGGAATGCCTTTTGGCTCCGGGATGTACAAAGATGTCCGTCACCCTGTACGGGTAGAGAGTGAGCTCACCCAGCTGGACAGTCCATTTAGAAGCATCAGGGAACCTGCCATGGACAAGAGAGAACTCAGGGTCCTGGGAGTAGGGCTGGCCACCTGGGCACACCTGGGTCCTCCCTGAGGTGTCCTGTGGGGCTGTACCACGTGCTCATACTGGACACCATCACCAGG